ATTTTGCTTTAGGACTTGCTTCATATTCAGTTTTAAAATTAATGCTCAAATGTAGAATTTTTAAGAAGTTTATATTTTTCGCTGCAATGCATTCTGGGTAGCGTCACTGCTTCGCCACATTTTGTTTTCAATCAACACAATATATTTATTTTGAATCAACTCAATATATTTATTTTGAATCAACTCAATATATTTGTTTTTTCATTAATGGACCCCCAGGCTTACAAGAGGATTTTCATGTTGAGCAAACTCAATACTTCTCCGTTGTCCAGTTATGCCAGAATATCAAGTTCAAATTTGTTACAAAAATGAGTTAGGATTCTTGTATTCACTTTTAATTGAGACCGGCATGTTTAAAATGAGTTGCGACCACACTAATTTAAGTAAAACTGGCAAAAATCAATTATTGAGTTTAGTTTAGTATGTATTTTGAGTTCAAAATACTAACCACCTGAATCATTTCTTTGAGTGTGTACAGTATATTAATAATAGTCTCTCTCCTTGGCCTAAAACCATGATTAATATTTGTGGGAGGCGCCTTGCCTCCTTGGTGGCAAGGCGCCGGGAGTGGATGAGATCCGTCCTGACTATCTAAAGTCTCTGGATGTTGTAGGACTGTCTTGGCTGACACGTCTCTGCAACATCGCGTGGCGATCGGGGGCGGTGCCAATGGAGTGGAAGACCGGGGTGGTGGTCCCTCTCTACAAGAAGGGGGACCGGAGGGTGTGTTCCAACTAGAAATGGTACAATGGCTGAAGCCATTGTGAGTGGCTGCATAGATGTTGGAAAGGTTAGGGATGAAGAAGGAAGAAGGAAGAAGTTGAAAGAAATGAAAGATGTAGGAAGAAGAAGAAGAAAGAAAAGGGAAGAAGAGGAAAGAAGAAGAAGAAGGAAGAGGACGAGGAGGAGGAAGAAGGAGGAGGGAGGAAGGGGAAGAAGGAGGAAGAAGGGGAAGAAGAGAAGAGGAAAAAGGGGTAGAAGGGGAAGAGGGGGAAGAAGGGGAAGAAGGGGAAGAAGAGGAAGAAGGGGAAGAAGGGGAAGAAGAGGAAGAAGGGGAAGAAGTGAAGAAGATGAATTAAGAATGTGTTGTAAGGGGCTGAATGTGTTGTAAAGTGATAAATGTGTTGTAAAGTGCTAAATGTGTTGTAAGGTGTTGAATTTGTAAAGTGCTAAATGTGTTGTAAGGTGTTGAATTTGTAAAGTGCTAAATGTGTTGTAAGGTGCTGTAAGTGTTGTAAGATGTTGTAATGTATTGTATCTGTGGTAATGAATTGTTAGTGTGGTAATGTGTTGTAAGGGGAGTAATCTGTTGTACTGGTCCAATGTAAGTCAATGGGAAAAAGTGCTTGAACTTTTGTTAATATCTTAAAAAGTGCAAAAGGTGGAAGTGTGAAAAGTAATAGCAATAATGAGACGGTGAAGCCGGTCGTAACGATGTATAATTTGTTGAATTTGGTGAAAGCGTTGAGTTGAAAAGTGCCAAAATCTGGCGGAAGTGGAAGAAGAAGAAGAAGAAGAAGAAGAAGAATAAACAGTAGGAGAGCATATAGTGGCTGCATAGTCTATGCAGCCACTCAATTATCGTGGGATCACACTCCTCAGCCTCCCTGGTAAGGTTTACTCCAAGGTACTGGAGAGGAGGTTACGGCTGATCAGTGCCGGCGTGGCTAATCGGGAGAGCCGGGAGGTTTCCCGGTGGGCCGGTTGGGCTAAGGGCCGGTGGGCTTATGTTGTATGTTGCTGGTTGGACTTGGCCGGCGGCCGTGCTTTCCTGACACCGCTGTTCACCGCAGCCTTCTCGGACCTGTCGCTCGGCCGTGCACACTGCCTCTCTCTCTCTCTCTCTCTCTCTCACCCACACACACGCACACACACGAGTAAACAGCACACACACTTCTGGCTAGTCTCATTTGGCCGCTTTCATTGGTTACGATGTGTTCTGCAACGGCCTGATTGGTTGTCTGTAGATTGTAGGCGGGACTAACCGAGAGCGCGGGCCATAGATCAGGTTGAATGACAGATAGAACTGAAGCAAGCGCCGTTTCTCACAGACATGACATCTGTCCAACACGAGTGTTTTTAAAATGGAAAGGAACAAAATCAAGGGCTGAGGAGAAAAGATTAGAATAAAAAAAAGGAACGCTCTTGAAGCTGAAGCAGCCAAATGTGCAAAGTTGGTAGTTTTTTTCTATAAAAAGTGCTCCCCCGATGAAGAGGCATCAGACCGCGGTAAGCTAGCAAAAAAACATGCAAAACACTGTGGCAAAACATGACGACGTGATTCTCTAAATGATTAGCACTCCATTACATTTATTGCTTCTTGGGTCCTCAGATACAACAATCGTTCATTCATATTAATGAAGAGCCTCAGGAATGGGCAGGTAAAAACCAAAAAGAAGATTGTATTTTTAATCAAATTTGACTAAGCCACTAAGGCCATGAATTTATTTCATAATGTATAATGTATATTGCATAAATTACATTTTTAACTTCTTTGTACATTAGGAAAGTAACAGTTGAATATTTTGTGTGTTTGTCAAAAGATGTGAAGCATTTATGCTCATATCTACAGAAAAGACATCCTTTGTCATTGGATAATAACATTATCATAAATAAAGTTGCATAAACAAGTCACTTCTACAGAGTTTACTCATGTTTTAATGTGCTTCATTTTGCTATTGTTAATTTGGGTTTGATTGATTTAAATAGTGTGCAGTTTGTGTTTTCTCGTCTTGATAGAGGTTAACATTTAGTTTGCTTTTAGTTCTCCCCTGGGACAACATTCAAGTACGTTAAGATTAATTTTGATTTTGTATAAAGTTGTAGCAAGCACTGTTTTGTCTTAGTGTTGTATTTGCATTAGTCTTTGTTTTTGTTTAGTCTTGAAAGGAGGATGATAGTTTAATGGTTTCGAGTCAATTCAATGTATTATAAAAAAAATATAGCCAAATCTTTGTGAATAACAATTATTTGAATGAAAATTGACATTGTTCTAAAATTTGTGAAATTCATGCTTTTTATATCCACATAAGTCTAGGGTCAGTCTAAAATTTGCTACAATTCATATTGTGATACCAGAATATTCAAATATCATGATTTATTCAAATGCATTATTGAGTTATTTTGTGACTAGCACTGAGAAGTCTAAAGGAGTGAACGAAGAATAATTTGAATACCATTAGTCTTGTAATTTACAAAACTTGATTTTAGGCCACCTGCTGGTTGTTATGGATATTACAAAAGCAGGCAGTTCAGTTTTTTTTTTGATAGACTACTTTATCAGAAGGGCCGGTCTGACCCAGAATTCCCGGGCCAAAAAATTGTCCCACTCCGGCCCTGCGGCTGATGGTCGAATCTCGGATTCAAGAAGAGCAGTGTGGTTTTCGTCCCGGCCGTGGAACACTGGACCAGCTCTACACTCTCCATCGGATACTCGAGGGTTCATGGGAGTTCGCCCAACCTGTCCACATGTGCTTTGTGGATTTGGAGAAGGCGTTCGACCGTGTTCCCCGGGGTGTCCTTTGGGGGGTCCTCCGTGAGTACGGGGTCCGGGGTCCTCTGCTGAGGGCCGTCCGGTCCCTGTATGACCGGAGCCAGAGCTGTGTGCGCATTGCCGGCAGTAAGTCAGACCTGTTCCCGGTGCATGTTGGCCTCCGCCAGGGCTGCCCTTTGTCACCGGTTCTGTTCACTGTATTCATGGACAGAATTTCTAGGCGCAGCCAAGGGTCGGAGGGGGTCCGGTTCGGGGACCACAGGATTTCATCTCTGCTGTTTGCAGACGATGTTATCCTGCTGGCTCCAACGAACCAGGACCTGCAACATGCACTGGGACGGTTTGCAGCCGAGTGTGAAGCGGCTGGGATGAGAATCAGCACCTCCAAATCTGAGGCCATGGTGCTCGACCGGAAAAAGGTGCCTTGCCCTCTCCGGGTGGGTGGAGAGGCCCTTCCTCAAGTGGAGGAGTTCAAGTATCTCGGGGTCTTGTTCACGAGTGAGGGAAGGATGGAGCGTGAGATTGACAGGCGGATCGGTGCAGCGTGCGCAGTGATGCGGTCGCTGTATCGGACCGTTGTGGTAAAGAGGGAGCTGAGCCGAAAGGCAAAGCTTTCGATTTACCGGTCAATCTTCGTCCCCTCCCTCACCTATGGTCATGAGCTTTGGGTAATGACCAAAAGAACAAGATCGCGGATACAAGCGGTCGAAATGAGCTTCCTCCGCAGAGTGGCTGGGCGCTCCCTTAGAGATAGGGTGAGGAGCTCAGTCACACGGGAGGAGCTCGGAGTAGAACCGCTGCTACTCCACGTCGAGAGGAACCAGTTGAGGTGGCTCGGGCATCTGTTCCGGATGCCTCCTGGACGCCTCCCTGGGGAGGTGTTCCGGGCACGTCCCACCGGGAGGAGGCCCCGGAGAAGACCCAGGACACGCTGGAGGGACTATGTCTCTCAGCTGGCCTGGGAACGCCTTGGGATCCCCCCGGACGAGCTGGAGGAGGTGTGTGTGGATAGGGAAGTCTGGGCGTCTCTGCTTAGACTGCTGCCCCCGCGACCCGGCAACGGATGAAGCGGAAGAAAATGGATGGATGGATGGAGAATAGTTAAACCAATGACGAGGGGTCACAATTAATTTCCACCAATCAGGGAGCTGCGGAGGTGGGTGTGGACAAAAATGTGTACTATTGTACTAATGTACAATGTGTACTATTGTACTAATGTGTAATTGTACACATTTTTGTGGTAGGGGAAACCGGAGCACGCTGAGGAAACCTATACTCCACTTCACTTTGCTCGGTTCACTCTCTTTTCACTTAATTAACATTTACTAAGATTGAAGAACCAAACAGCCCTTGGGTCAAAAGAATAATTGTCAGCAAAATTATGTCATGCATTTTAGTCAACGAAATTGGATTAATGAGTAATGTATACAGTTTAAAATTCAATATGTTCAGCATTGTCGTTGAGTTTAAAGCGAATAGATCTTTTTTTTATGATCCCTAACAAGACTCATGAGGTGTGTTTACCGAGTTGGTGATAGTCGAGCTGTTTGTAAAGGCACATGCTGAGCTTGAGCAAAAACTCACAGCAAGAGGCGTTGAGATTTGGGTTCCTGAACAAAGAACAAAGAAATAGCAAAACAAACAATTCATCAAGAATTCTGCAAGTGTAAATGATCATCCCGCCATCATCAAACAGAATGTTTCTATTTAGATAGCACCGCCAATCTAATTTCTTCTGATAATATTTGCCATTGACCAGACAGGCCTAGTGATTTAACACAGTAGTCCAGTGCACCTAAGTGTACAGCTGTAAAAATACATTGCTAAGGAAAAAAAAAAAAATGGAGCAACTGTATTGTGTTTTTTCACCCTGGTTGTTTACAAATACTGCCTCTCAGCAGAAAAAAACATGGTGCTAACTGCATGACACTTTTGTTTAAAGTGCAGATATCGTTAATAACAGTAGCTTCATATACAGTTTATACTCTAGGTTTATTCACAGTATTAGCGATGACTCAGGGAAGACCGGTGCTTCCGACAGCAGTGTTGCTCTTGTTCTCTTTTAAAGCGACGGATAATGAGAACATGCTTTTCTCAGCTTCAAACATTTCCACCTCCCCACCTATCACAGGGACGAGTGTGTGTCTCCTGGGGCAATTACCAAGATACACTCTACCTGCTTCCATTGCAGAGCAGTCCTTTGTGCTCGAGCGCCAGCCTCAGGAAGCCAGAGGAGGCTGAGAGAGAGAGAGACAGAATGTAATTAATAAATAATATAATAAATGATCTTTATTGTATCAAATTGTTTCTATGTGATGTACGCTAAAGATCTACTTCTATTCTTAAAAAAGAAAAAGAAATAAATATATAGTATCATATTCAAATTCCTAAGCTCAAATAAATAAAAAGCAAAAGGAAGCAATAATGGTTTGCACGGAGGAGCAGTAGTTAGCGCTTGTGCTTCGCTGCAAGAAAGTCCTGGTTTCAATTTCACCTCCAGATAGGGCCTTTCTGTGTGGGGTTTGCATGTTCTCCCCGTGCCTGCTCAGGTTTCCTCCGGGTGCTCCGGTTTTATCTTCTCTTATGTACAAAAGCTCCCCTCTCTCTGGGAGCAGGACTCCCCTGAAAATGTGATCTTTAAATCTCTCAGTGGGACGATTCTGGTGTTAGACCAATTAGGTACATACAATATGTGATGGACACTCTCCGGCTAAAAATATATCATATTACAAATAAAACATCATAATCTTGTCACCAATATTGAAAGGATCACTCAAACAATAACTATTGAGACCAAAAAAATTATTGTGCCAACCATCAATTATTGAAAAAGAGGTTGATTTAGTCATCTATACTGACACGCCTCCATGTAGAGCCATGAACCGTTAAATTGCCATCTTAGTGTCCCAGGTTTTTTCCATAATAGATTTTTTGAACATATCTCTAACGGGTTTTCACAATACTGGACACGCAGCATTATACTGGAAGTTATATTGGTTGTGCTTTTTCTAGCTATATTACATTTGAATTCTTTCACATACTGTGGTAGTTTGGCCATAAACTCAAAACCTGTTTATTTATACAACTTTGTATTCCGGTGGTGCATTCTAGTGATTGTGACAATCAATAGTTGAAGTACTTTAATAAATGCTTTTTATACTTTCACGCTGGAATCAATGTGCAACTAGACTTAAAAAAACAACATGAAGCAGAATGTCTCCAATCAAATATTTAGCCATTTGTGGTGCGCCTGTGCTCCTATATACTCACCAAGCTTTATTGCAAAGGCCGGCATGAGCGATGGAAGGAGGAAAAACTGAGAGGACAATATGGTGTAAAAGTGCTGCAATATCTGAGCATTGGGTCCATGCTGACTTGTCTTCTGCGCACACACACACACACACACACACACACGCACACACGCACACACACCCAAATGCAGACACACGCAATATGAGTTATTTTCTTTTAGTAATGGACTTTGTATGATAATACCAAGAAAGACCAGATTTGACCAAGATGTGGAGATTCAAAACATAAACGTGGATTCAAAAGGCTTTTCTCAAGTGTTTTCATTTCACAAGTGCAGATAAGGAAAACATGAAAGCAGCTGAGTACATACGTGTGTGTTGATATTATTTCTTACAATGACAGCGGGTATCCAAACAGCGTCACAACAGCGCAGCATACACCGGCACAGAGACTCCAGGGAATCTTCTTTTTGCTGTGCTTTTGATGGAGCCGTAAATGCGTTCTCCTTTAGAACCGGGTCTGATGTGCACTCCTCAGCCAGCCTTGAGTTTAATAAACAAGCAAAATAGCGTCTATATCAGACGGATAGATCAGGCCTCAAGCTGGTGCCCTGCATGTTGTGCTGACCTGCATGTGGACTCAAAACACATCAGAGCCTGGAGGAGAAAGCCATAGGACTGAGAAGCCTGGCTACGGGCATTGGACTTTTTCAAACTGGCCTTAAGAATTTAAAAGAAACATGACTTTGGACTTCTTGTTATTTTTAAGATACATGTTGAATTAAAAAGTACAGCTTCCTTTTAAAAATGATATATGTATCTGTTAAAAAGGTAAACATATCTGAATGTTTCACACTCACAGAGTTTTGGTGGTATACATGCGGAACAAGAGAGAGCTCTGAAACTCTCCTGGTGATACTCTCTATGAGCGCTGTGATCTCCATGAACTGGACTGGTCGAGACTGGTGCTTTTTCCTGAGTAAAAAGAGAAGCCAAGGGAAGAGCTGTAAACATGTGGTTTCTTTTGAACTCATTCTCTCAGACAATCCTTCACCCTATATATTTCCCATGCACGGCCGGTGCCCCTTAGAGTTGTTTTATGCTTTTTTGAGTTGTATTTCTATGAACTGGTGCATCTAAAGCATCCATATTCTCAGTTTCCATGATACACAATCAATCCATCATAGCCAGGGCTATAGTTGGAGAGTAAAAACACAGGTTCTTCACCCTGAGATTTTAGCTCGAAGGCCCACATCTTTAGTTTTTACAACGCACCCTTTGCAGAATAGAACGTTTACATGTTGTGCATGTTGTGTATACCTCAGCAGGATGCTGGTGGCCTTCACAGCGTGTGTCGCCACCAGCAGACAAGAGGAGGATACACTCGCCTCCAGAGCTTCAGACACAGCGACATATCCTGGGCGACTTGGGAAAAGGTGCATCTCTGGGGGTTGCCTATGGAAACATAAACCACACATTTGAAGTTAAATAATTGTCCCAACAAAAGAAGCAAAACACAGACACGCACAATGGCGACACAAAATATACTGCTGAGCGGTGTCTCCGTTGCTAAAACAGTAACACATTGGAATAACACCTTGACTGTAGAGACTAAAAAGATCCTGTTAAGAGGGAATTCCTCTCCAACAAACCAGAGCTTCTTCAGCATTCCCGCCTCGATGCTGTTCTCTGCATAAAGGACACCTCACCATTAAAATCTCTTATCTCTTGTACCATCCGCATGTGACAGGCGGAACGTTTAATTAAAATAATGTGGACCCTGCAGAAATATGACAGTCTGTTAGCGACTGGTCATATATTCTCCGCTGCCGCCCAGCGATAGTTCCTTCTCATCTGATTAAGTGTGCACCACATTTAACACGTTTTAGTGCAGACCCTGACTCAGGGTCATTACAACAAACTGTGCTTACTGAGGCCTGAACTATGAAGGGATCATTTTTCCACTTTCATTAGTGTTGTAGAGTATGCGTGACAAAGTCAAAATAATGCACAGTAATATGCATTTTAATCTTGTTTATTGCAAAGAAAGTCCAGAGCCCGAGGCAAGACTCCATTTGGCACAAATCATGAAACAGCACAGAATACTTTTTGACATTGAAAAAGGTGCTTTAATCATCATACTTTTTAAAGATTTGCTTGATATTAACTTAACTTTTAACTATCTCACTGTATGAATGTAAGCTAAAATAATAATAATAATAATTATAATAAAAACAAAACTCACTTCTCGAGTATGTCAGTTAGTAAAAGAAGTCCCTGTTTGGGCACTTCCAGGTTGGTCATCCGTAAAGCTTCCTTCAGACTGCGCACCAGGGATTCAATTCCTTAAACAAGAAAGTTCATAGCTTTGTGAGTAAAAAGCAAAACATTTGAACTCATCATTTTATAGCTATGGCTTTATATCATGAAATTAGGATGATATTATCAATAAAAACCTATTACAATCATAAACAGTGTCAAGGGGACATCTTCCAACTCTATCACTTCACACAGCTGTAAGTCTTTTGTATGGTCCTATCAAATTAAAACAGAACTTAATAATAGAAGCAGGAAGACACCTTTGGCACCAGGAAATTAAATTGATTGTTTGTGTTTTTCGGAATTCCTCTGGTGCAGCATAAACTCAGGAACAGATAATTCATTGTAAGAGAAGAACTAAAACAAACAGGGGAAGAACAAATTAGTTTTCAGTTAGAGGCTGTTTGTGAAGCTTTATCTGCAATCTAACATTTCTTCCAGGGATGTTTTTCATGGTGTAAAAATAGTTTTCCATATCCAAAGTGTAGAAGCTAAACAATTATCCTGCAGCCTGTATGCTGTGTTTGTAGTCTCCATAGTATGTGCAGTGTTGGGTAGACTACTCTTCAGTTCTAGAATACTCAATACATTACCTCAAATCTATTTTGCATGGTATTCCGTTACTAGTAGTTAAAAAGCAGTACCTGTATATAATTACTAAATACTGTTATCTATACTTTTAAAGTACTTCAAAACTAATCAAGGTAAATTTAATAAACCTTGACAAGTTTAATATATAATAGAAATATTTAAAACCACAACCTCAATAAATGTTCTGTAAGTCGAAATGCTTCAACAGCTCCCATTTAACAACCAGAATAATAGAATCTTCACTTTAAGAATACCCAATGTTTTCTTTTCTTTCTTTTTTTTTTTTTACCTTAAAACGTAATGTGAGAAAATATGTATTCCTGTGATTTTCAGAAAGTAACTTTATTCTAAAAACTAAACTTTAAAGTAGTAACTGTAATGGAATGCAGTTACTTATAAAGACTATTCTGAATACATAATGGTGATTAATGTATTCCGTTACTTCCCAACACTGGGTATGCAACATATAGAGTTACCTGCTTTAAAAACACTTCTCAGTCTGATGCAGGTCTAAGGGAAGGACAGACATACCATAAACAGAATGACACTGGGAGAAGAAAAGAGGGTCTTCAGCCAAGAGCTTCAAACAGGTGTAGACCGACCACAAAAGAGCTTCATGTTTCGAACTCGCCAGTCTGTCAAACAAGAACGCTGCAGGGACATGGACAGTGGAAACCCATTGAATTCAATTAACTTCAAACTAAATATTGAACTTGGATAGAAATTATGCTCAGCAAGCTTTGGCAGTGTGTGTGAAATACCAGGAACGTCGGCTTTAATGAAGGGAGTGGAGTACTGACGAGGCGAATGAATCAAGACAGATGCAATACACTTAGCGCTGCTCACCTGCAACATCTTATCGCCACTCAACAGCAACTGAGAAAAAAACACATTTTATAAAGCACTGGAGAGAATACACTTTTTTAAAAGTGCGTACATGACTGTGGTATTGATTTACGAGACCTTTTAGTGTTACAAGACCGGCAGAAGATAAAAAGAAGCTCGCATCTCTTAAATAATGCATAAAATACATTTATTTTTTAAGAGGAAATCTTAGTGTTATGGTAATGTCTGAGATTCCAAGGATGCAGCCATGTCGAGCAGCAAGTTCTATGTCTGGAAGTCCAAGCGTGTATCTCTAAAGATTAAATGAATTTTAAATTTCCTGTTTATCAAGGTACATGTTTCAGTTCATTACCCCCTGACTGGGAACACTCAAAATGATTATGTATCGCACACTAAAAGGATCTTGGTGACCTGAAAATACAAGGGTAAGGGTAAAGGAAACTATTTCAAAAACAAGAGGAGATTTCACACTCAAATCAGATGAAAATATACTATTGTGGAGCAATGAAAGATAAAAGAATGATCTGATGAATGACCAAAACCTCATTAAATAAATACTATTTTAGACATCTATTGAGAGTGTGCATCGGGGCGACAGTAGCTCAGTTGGTAGAGCACTGGCCTTTGGGCCTGAAGGTGAGTTGGAGCCCACCGCGGGACCTACCCCAACTGCTCCCACTAATGTCTGCTGTCGTTGTGTCCTTGGGCAAGACACTTAACCCCACATTGCCTGAAGCCCCCCCCCCCCGAACCAGAAATGGACTAATAAAGGGGTAGAAAATAAATGAATAAATGAATGAATGAATGAAAACGAGTGTGCCTTCTTTTTTTCACACTTGCGCAGCTGATCACACAGCAAACACAATAAATCTGTGAGAAAAATATGTGTCATATTTAAATAGTGAGGCTTACATTTAGATGTTTCTATGAAGAATTGGTTTAGTTTTATTCTTTGAAAATATAATCGGAGTATCCATCCATCCATCCATCCATTTTCTTCCGCTTTATCCGTTGCCGGGTCGCGGGGGCAGCAGTCTAAGCAGAGACGCCCAGACTTCCCTATCCACACACACTTCCTCCAGCTCATCCGGGGGGACCCCAAGGCGTTCCCAGGCCAGCTGAGAGACATAGTCCCTCCAGCGTGTCCTAGGTCTTCCGCGGGGCCTCCTCCCGGTGCCCGGAGGATGCTCGGAGTAATGTGCTAATAAATATAGCATTCCATAGAAATATAATACCTTGGTATAGCTAAATCACAACAAGTCGTTTTGGAAGGACTTTAAAAAGTTGTCAATTTTCCAACACAGATCAGAGACTCAAACCGTTTGAACACAGTAAACGCACTAAGAGCAACTGAATCAAAAAATTATAATATCAAATGAATGATTCTGACATATCTGATAGTTGTTCATCCCAGATTCACAGACAGTGCACAGAAATGTAATTGATTATACATTATTATTATTGTTGTCTGTGATTTCCCAGACATGGATTACTAATATTTGTTCTGTGCAAAGCTAGTATGATTCCCACCCAAAGTCATATTAATCCAGGCGGTGGACTTGTTGTGATGGTAAATGTCAGGCTCCAAAGGCACATGTGGGTGATTGAAGCAGGATGTTTGGACAGACCTTTTTCAGTATGAGAGGCAGAGGGCTGCTCTGGGACTCTTCACACATGAGTGGACCAACAGCGGCACTACTCATCAAGACGGACACTGCTGCTGCCACCTGCACCAGCAGCCACAGCAAGCCTGCTGGGAAACCATGCTCTTAAATACAATATCAGGCTAAAACACACACAAAAATCTACCCACAACTCAAGTCCTTTGAAATCTTCCTTTACATCAAGCCTGTTTGTTTGTTTTGATCTCAAGTTCAACCAAGCATATCAAGTGTAAATCCACAGGAGGAATGCTAATGTATTTTCAAAAATGCTAATAAAGCATTTAGAATTTCACTCTGAAGAACGGAGAAAAGGTCAGACTGCATACAGCTACTTCCTAAACAGAGGACAGGAAGTAGCCTATCACCGCTGCTGTCCTGCTCCACCCAGCGGCTACACCACCTCTGCTGCTGTAACGTGTCCTGCTCCACCCAGCAGCTACACCACCTCTGCTGCTGTAACGTGTCCTGCTCCACCCAGCAGCTACACCACCTCTGCTGCTGTAACGTGTCCTGCTCCACCCAGCGGCTACACCACCTCTGCTGCTGTAACGTGTCCTGCTCCACCCAGCAGCTACACCACCTCTGCTGCTGTAACGTGTCCTGCTCCACCCAGCGGCTACACCACCTCTGCTGCTGTAACGTGTCCTGCTCCACCCAGCAGCTACACCACCTCTGCTGCTGTAACGTGTCCTGCTCCACCCAGCAGCTACACCACCTCTGCTGCTGTGACCTAAGCGCTGTTGTACTTACGACTATTAGTAACTTTTAGTATTATGTATTTATATTTTGTGTGGATGGAATTTTTCTGCAGCTGGACACCTAAATTTCTCCTACTGGGTATTAATAAAGTATCTATCTATCTCACCTATAAGCAGTCTAAATACTAATACCTATATAATTAAATTATAGTCGCAATCGCAATAAAATCAAAATCATTAAATGGCTCATTAAAGCTGGAGTACCTTTCTTTGTTCATGAATAGCAAATACAGTATACAGTAATAGCCACAATTATTATACTTGATAAAGAACAGTACAATATAAAAGTATTGCAGTTGCACAGCTAAACAAAACTGATTTTTGAGCAGTATCAGAGTAGCGTCTTTTTGGCAGTACGTGCATGCTCTTTAAAGCTGAGTACCAAATTTTTTGGCCCGACAGTTGGGAATGGGGTGATTCTCTGTAACGGGTGCCTTTTGGGTCCTCAGAATTTTGAAAAATGACCAAAAATTATTGCATTTCTGAACATTGCATCTCACAAAGGAGTATTTGAACCTCTGGTAAAAAACTGTTTCGCATCCTTAGAAATGGAATACCAAATATTACTAGGGAATTTGCCATTCATTTTGTTACGGGGTTGAATGTTACGGGGTTGAAGATTCATCATTTGGCATTTGGAAATCATGAAATTGATATACTTTTCCACACAGTTGTCTGATTCTTCCTAAACAATATCTAAATATCGTTTATCTGTGTAACAGAGTTGAAAGGTTGAGCATGACGATGTCAATATCACAGAAACAAAAATGAGATACGGTTAAAAATGTATGCTAATAATTACTTCTCTTCACAGCATGACCTTGAAAAGACTTGAGTAAGTAACTTTGTGAAGGTTGAGTGGGTTGGACTGAACAATTATTTTCAAAAAGGGCGGAAAATGCCACGCCGTTACTGGGTTGAACAAACTTGGGGGACATGATTACAAAGTACCATTTCATGAAAACAAAATAAAACATGAATTCTTTTCAGTTTTCTTTTATTTTAGTTAGAGCAGACAGGTATATGTTTATATTAGCAGAAAAAATGGGGTTAATGGCAATTCATATATGTTTTAGATTGAATGAAAAAGTAACTTTGGTCAGTGGGGACATGCATTTTCCTCTGCCATCTGATACTCAGCGGCCCATAAAAATGTGAATAATATATTTTTTTCCTATATTTTCTTGTGTTCTATGCAAATACACATGTTTTTTTCTGTTTCTTGGTTAAAATTCATTATATTGGTAACTTTATTTTTTAATCTTTGCGTTAAACCTCTGGGAAACAAAAGGCACCGGTTACAGAGAATGACCCTGGGAACAAATCAGACCACAACTTGCTGCCTTCATCTTATTAGAAAACATGTCATGGTTTGTATTAGAAAAATCCCTGTGAGTCACTATTTGGCTGAACGGATGAGTGTGGGGCGGTCTGAAAAAACTGATCAAAAGATGAGAGAGGCTGAAACGACATGCATGTGAAAACTGGAGATGTAATCAAGCTGCTTTGAGAGTAAGGAACAAGTTAGATCAGATGTCTCCAACCTTTTTCACCCTGAGAGCTACTTTCCTGGGATGATAAAGGCAGAGAGCTACTCCTTTAATAGGCCCTGGGAAAAAAAAAAGATGATACATTGGTGTGAACAAGCCTGATATTGGGTACAGTCATTATTTATGACTCCCGAGCTACAGGTTTGAGACGCCGAAGTTAGATGGATTTCCTTAGTCATTTTTCTGTGGTTTGGAAGTTAGGTAACTCAGCTTTAAGGATAAATAATTGACTCATATCATTCAAACTTGTAACTCAGAAATAAATTGATTTCTCTGATTCTGTTACTATTTCAAGTTTGGTATATTTGATACATGCTTGTTTACAGACAGTTGTGCATAGAGATAAGATTAAGCCCTGACCAATGCAGTTGGTGATGAGAATCGTTGAGTTGGCGTTGGCCAATGTTTGGAGCAGCAGAACACACACTCTGTCCCTGATGGGGGCAGGCACAGCTGCTGTGGCTGTCCCAAACACCTGGAGCCACACGTATAATACAGACGCCTTCAGCTCCTCGTCTGGCAACAGCAGAGTTAAGCACAAGTCCTCCAGCAAGGGCACTGCAGGAAAGAGATAGAGAAAATCAATCAATCAATCGTTATTTATGAAGCGTTTTATCATATTTGGAAGAGCAACCCCACTCTTCAATTACGTACATCATTAATTATCCAGATGATTTGTTAAAAAACAAACATTTTTCCAAATGTCAAAACAAAGGAGAGTAAATGATGGAGTGCAGACTGTAACAGTGCTTTGTCACATCAAACCCCTGTGACTGAGCAGCAGCTCCGCGACATGTTTGATTAAACCTAAACATATGAGGCGGCCGAGATGAGAGCCAGGGACAGTGATACTGAGCAGAGACAGAACGCTGCAGATGCATCACACAAGAAGAGGACAGAAAAACAACAGGTGAAAGTTCTACTTTCATGGTGGAAAAGCACAGAGACTCATCTCTTGACGCTACATTTAATTTTGCTTTCTCGTGTCAGAGAAAAGCAATGGTTTACTTTTGTCTGCCGCTGTGATCCTGCACTCTCGTCTGCTTTGCTTCAGTGAGTTTAACTCAAACAATCTCTGCCTGGTCCTTTTAATTTTCACACAGCTCTTTGTTCCCTTATATTGTATACAGTGCTTTGCAAAAGTACTAAGTTTTGAGTTTTAAAATAAAAAAACATAACAAAGTAACAGAGAATTGCGATTTTTCTTTTTAAGCTGAAATGTGAATGAATAGTCTTTTCGGCCATGACTCTACATTAGACCTGGGCATTATGGGACCCCCAATTTAGCCAGTTTATCGTTCTATCCGGCCCACGGCGATAGCCAGCTGAAAATCATCTACAAACTGGCAATTTAAGATGATATTTCATGGATATATATGATTAAATATTAAATTGTGATCGCGTGAAAACAGGCCCTGCACAGCAACGCAGAATAAAAAAATAAATGCCCACCCCTGCTCTACGTAGTCTACAGGCTTCACACATCTAGGGAATTCACATTTTTCCCATTCATCAAAATAACAATTAGCGTGTTTGTGAACAGTAGTTTCCAGGTCTTTGTTTGTGTGACTTTAACACTACTTTAATCTTTCCTCATTATTTCCTGACCTCTCTGATGGGTTCCTAACTTCCATTCCAGAACAGTTTCACTCAGAGCCCCGCTGTGTGTAAGCTACACTATTTCAAACATGTTTTCATATGTCAACATGGCAAAAGCTGTACATTCATCTCCATGCATATAAACTTTGTAACAAAGTTGTCAAAAGTCACTAAAATGAACACAAATAAAGAAATATGGAGATAAGCAAGAAAAATGCAAGGGTTCAAAAGGGTTCAACAGTGGAAGCTAAAGACAGAATTGGTTGTGTTTTAATGTGTGTTGTCAAAGTGTTCCTGCTGTCATTAGTCCAAACAGCCCCATAGAGAGATGTTGAGTGACAGCGACAGACAGAGCCACACAACCACATAGTCAATACTGGTGGCCCACATCTCACATCCGCACTGTATCGACCTATTCAAGAAAAGCCATCTAAATCTATAGAACACAGGGGAGGAAAATATCATAAAGCAACATATAACAAGTAGCACTGATTTAGCACCGACAGTGAATACAAACCAACATGACAGTGATCAATGGCACGCATTAATACAAAAAGTAATGTTTCAGTCAGAAGATTAGACATGCAGATGGTAAACTAGCAAAGTTGTTCATCTGTTATAATATCAGTAATACATTTATGATTTTATTTAGCGGAAAGTGAGAAAATGGTGTTTCTTAATTTCTCTTTCAAATGCAAGCTGTCTTACCATACTGCGTCACAAGCACATTGGCAATGTTAGGGACTGCTTCCAATAGTCGCCCAATGAAATGAAACGTTGATAGCAAACGCTTGTCATTATAGGGACCACTTAGCTGTAAAATAGGAAACATACACAAAACCCACACAGTCAATATCTTTAGCAAGTAATGAGACAAGGAAAAATGGGGCATAAGCTATGCAGTAACACGCTTCACATAAATTATGTAAGGAAAAAAAGAGTGCAAATGTTGGCTTTTACAATGACTCCAAATGCCAGATTAATTAAACATCAACATGTATAAAAGCCTCTCAGTTCAGCCGTGCTCAGTGTTTTGATTTTTATCGTGATTAATTTCTTCAGATTAGTTCTAATCATATTCCATTTTATGAAATAAATGAGTCGCATCCACCCCTCTGTCATCGTCATCCCAGCAGAGACACAATTGTTCTTTTCTGCCTGAGGCCAACCCTGCTGGACTGGAAGGCAAAGGCCCACCTGTTTGAGCTTTATAGTGAGAAGGTATTTACACTTACAAGAACAAAGCCGAGCATAGACATATTAGTTCCTTAATGTGGAAGTTACTGTAGTTACTTGTGAAGATAAGGGCCATTTTTCAAATGCAGGCCCCTCCCCATTGGTATTTTCCTCAAGCAAATCTTACTGGTGATGCTTGTTCCAAGGGGAGGGACTGTTTTTATGTGTTTATTGTGAAAAATACTTGATATAGATCCTACAACAGAATCATAATGTCAAAAACATGTAATATTTTCAAAATACTGAAGTTAAAGCTATGATATGCATAAAAATATAAATACAGTTTATAATTTATTGTTAAAAGAACCTGTTCTGAAATGAACGGCTGAAGGAATAAATATCTGTGTCTTACCTGTTTGTGTATCTCATCAAAGACAAAGCGAAATGGAGGCTCGCTCTGTAGCTCTATCAGCAGTTGGACAAGCACTGTGTCGTCAAGGTGTGTATGCAACAAGACAGAAACAAGGACTGAATCATTTCTACAAAATTAGAAGAACAAAACCATTTTCTACCAATTCAAAAGGACCATATGTGACTTTTAAGCAGCAGAAAGTAAGAATTGCACTGTTAAAGTACTCATTTAGGATAATATGAGCCTTGCATAATATTGGCCCTTTCAGTTGAAATGCATACATTCCAGTAGCCATAGCATAGCAAGAGGATACTCAACATGAACAGTACATCTGCACATTCAAACCTCATAGCGCTCTGATAAGCTTTTTGTAAGGTCCTGAGCCTCATAAATCTTTGTTGCACAGACAGCTCCTACAAAATGTGCAAGTTTTAAGTTCACCTTGGTCAACCTTTTCCAAAGTAGATGTGTCCTCTGTGCTCTGAAGCATCCCTAAGAAAAGAGGATGGGTGGGTTACACCAACACAGTTCAGGTAATCAAGACAACTGTCACACAACAGTTATAGATGGAACAATAATCAGTATAATCAGAGTAAATGTGAACACACAAGGAAAGTATTTCAATGTATTTTTTTATGCATTTTGTAATCAGAGTAATAAAATACTATGGCCACCCATGGTGCTGCAATATGCTTTTAAATGTGGTGAGGTGATGATTCACATAAACATAAAACCTTCCAGTGACCACAAAAGTGCAGCAAGAAGGTCCTGGGTTCGAATCCCGGTCAGAACAGGGCCTTTCTGAGTTGAGTTTGCATGTTCTCCCCATGTCTGTGTAGGTTTCCTCCGGATGCTCTGGTTTGCAATACCACTAAAAACATGTACATTAGATCTGCCATGTGCCTCCTGTAGGGGACCCTGCTCTCTGTGTGAAGTGAGAGACAAATGCCAACAATTGTAATACTCGACTGTGAAAAGCGCTAAAGATTACTTTCCAGTCATTTCTGTTACTTTTGACAATAAACTCAATTTTAAAATACCTTCAAACAACAATTGAAATATTGTAAAAGGGCATCTCTAGTCACACCGTTCAATCTCTATAGAATACTATTCAGTGCAGCAAGAGCTCTTTCAATCTACTCAACGGTGAATGAAACAGAATTTGCATGGAACTGGGAGTGTCTGACCAGTTTTTCTAACTCTATAAATGCTTGCTGTTTTGTAAGTGCAAACACAATAAATGCAGCATCATATGTAATAGTGAGATGAAAGGGCTCATGGTTCTGCTCATGGATTCAACAAATCCATGCCACAAAGCAGAGAGCAGACCCTTTCATGCTCTGCCAGAGTCTTCAGCACTTGAAACAGAATACCATTTGCCACACAACTCCAATAAGATTATGGCACTAATGGCTTATACCTAGCGGCTGCAATAACCAGATTGAACGTGTCAATTGAGAACCTTTAATAAATCTTCCATTCTTCCTGCCTTTGTGTAGAATGTGATAGTACACTACACAAACATCATAAAAAGTAATACACAATCATAAAACAATACATTTTATAAGTTGTTTGCTTATGTTAGCATAACTGCCTTTTGTTGCCTTCCTTCTTGGCAAATATGTCACCCACACAACTGAACTGACATTAGATTACTGGAGGACATGTGTCTAAAGATAACTTTTTATGTTATGTCTGAGTTTCTCACCAAGCAGAGAAGCTATAAAACGCAATGAGATTCTTTGGTCTTGTCGAAGCAGTTCCTTTAAGGCCCCTGGAGAGCACTTCAATACCCAACTGACTCCAGACAGGGCATAAGACTTTCTCACAGACTGTGGAAACAGCAGGGGAGGGAAGAATGAAAAACTTAAAAGGGTCTCAAATTAATACAAATATTACACTTTACAGTATGCACACAATAATGTAATTACCGCCATAACAATATGCACTGATAATGGTCTTCTTTAAAAGATGAGACACATGATGTTCATCTGACATCCCACAATCTCTTTACTTATAATGATATTTGCCATTTACTGTTACATTGGAGATTTATTTTACATAATTTATGTTCTGGACCTTTTCACACATTCACTCAATTTATAATACTCTCACACAGAATTTAGCCCTTATTCGTGTCACACAGTTTGAGGATGTGGGATAATTGTTTGTCGATCACCACAGTAGTTTTCTTTCTAAACATGTGTGAGATGTGTTTGTCTCACCGCTACGTCTGCGCTCTCCACCAGCTCCAGCACACACAGCACACACAGCGTCATCCCGCCGCCTTCAGCTGGACCCAGGCGGCCGCACCACTGGGCCTCATGCCTGAAGTGGATCTTCTCACAGATAATGTCTCCAACAGACATTTTTGACAAGTATTCTGTCACAGATGAACAGAGTTTGAAGTCATTGTAGAGTAATGACGTAGCAAACTCAGCTAGCTACAACCCCAGGACATGAGTATGCTAATAGATCCATGAGGGTAGTAAGTTAACATGCACTTTTTTCTTTTTAACAAGAGCTTTACAAATACAGGAAATTACTTACAAATCACAAAATGACTCTTCTACAGTCTGGATGGATAAAACATAAGAACTAATATAAAAGTAAATATTACACATCCATGACTAAATCCCGCGAGTAGTTCGTTCGTCTTTGGCTTTCGATCATGTGAACACGTGACACCGACTCACCGAGAGTAAATCGTTGTTACACATAAAATATAGGAATAATATTTTATTGTAAATGCCTTTGAGATAAGCCCAAAGCAATACACTGTAGATGATTTTTTATACGCCAACCAAGCTACATGATACATATATATATATATATATATATATATATATATATATATATATATATATATATATATATATATATATATATATATATATATATATATATATATATATATATATATATATATATATATATATACTGCTATAGAGGTTAGAGACGTGTCAACTTAACTCTGTAACTTAGTCACAGCAGACCAAAGTTGTGGTAAGATGGAGGCTAAAGTGGAATATACAGAACTGCTCATGGACATGCTGCTTTCACGTCTGGTCTCACCACTTCCTGCGCTGCACACTGTGTTGCACGCTTCATATGTAGGCGGCTGTGCACAACCTACGTAGGCAATTAGTTTTAAGTACAAAGTATGATTGATCCGTGACCAATGGTATGATCACCTGGAAACCTATAGAAAGGCCTAGAGGAGCAGAGGAGCAGAGGAGCAGAGGGCGGAGATCAGCCTGTGGCGTCAGTGTGCGTCAGTGTGCGTCAGTACAGTCTGGACAGAGCGCACGGGCTGCTGTGAGTGCGCTCCTCTTCACCCTCTGTGGGGAAAGTTCCCAAAACGGGAATGATGGATTATTATGGAAGTTTAGGAGTTTTCGTGGCAACATAAATGTATGTTCAACGCACAGAAGAGGGCGCAAAGTGGTGAGAAAGAAACGTTGTTTTCATTTAATGTTCATCTTTTTAAGTGTACGTTCGGGCTCAGCTGGTCCCCATCTTCGTGTATGGGACAGGGTTTTATTGTATATGATGGGAGGACGTATTTAGTGACAGAATACAGATTTGCAGTAAAATGTGTTTTGTGATGTATTTCATTGCTCAATCAAAGTTGTAGATTTTGAATGACTGAAACATTTTCATCGTTGATATTTTTTTATTTTTTTTTTATTGAGTAGTGTTATTGTTTATTAGAAAAATAAAAGTTAAACACACTTGCATGATGTTCTACTTAGTTGCATGTTAAGTTTCCATGATTGTCATCATTCATTTGAATCATATCTATTACTTCGTATGTATATATTTACTTGTGTATATGTTTAGACCCTGGCAGAATGTATGTTTTACATCTAATATGGTTAAGAATATAATAGGACAACAGGATTTTTTTCTTAAAATCCTGATGAATGAGATCAAAAGTTTGCATATGCTGCTTATTGTGGCAGAACATGTATGAATGGCACTGAAGACAACCATCCTTGATAATAAATTGATTCACCATTCATTCATTCATAATGAAAAATGGCCAAGATCATAAATTATTTCAGTATTCACATTGATATCTGCACAAAAGTATCTCATAGAATTAGTCTTTTTGTTGCCTTTCTATACAATGCTTAATGGATAAAAACAAATGGTAATCATAACATAGATGACAGGTTCTCTTTCATTACATGGCTGTATTGGTACTTTACACTACCCAGATAGTACAGTTGTTATCAACACCAACACAAAAAGGTCGCAAACACATTGTTTCTTGTCCCGCAGGTGTTTCTGCGCCCCCCTGCCGTCTAATCTCTCTCATCTGTCCCCATCAGCATTTTCCACAACCAGTGTCAGAAGACATAATAAACAAACTTTGGGTTGGGTAAGTGTACCTAAAACACTGGCTTGAAGGCCCCTATGTCTTTGTATACAACAATAGCAAGAAAAATTACATCATTGTGGCCCGGCATGGCAGGGGAGCTTGTACATTGACAGAATACAGCAGCAGACACATTCTGATCTGACGGCTGAAACTACAAAGTGGCTGTGAGAGAATAGGAGGACAAAGTCTCCATTTTGTCTAAAGATGCACTTCAGTGCTGTCAGTATGATGTGAAAGGACTAGAATCATTGCTGCAAAAAATTATAATTTCAATGTATTTATTATTAGGGCAGAAGATGATCTCATTCCTCATTTTTATTGAAATTTGTTTCATTCTTGGAGCGGGAGAATTCTTGGTAACATTCTTGGTAACAACGATACTGCTTCTGTCTGGAGGGGCCTACGGGAGATCACCAACTACAAACCCAAAGCCCCCCCCTGTGCTGATGACCACAAGCTAGCTGACGATCTGAACTTATTTTTCAGTCGCTTTGATGCTGCCCCTGACACCTCTCCCTCCCCCACCCCCCACTACTCTAACGACCCACCCATCAGCCCTGCCCCCAGCCTAACAATAGCCGCTAAAGAGATTAAACAACTCTTCCTGAGGCTGCACCCCCGCAAAGCTCCTGGCCCGGACCACGTGTCTCCGGCCACTCTGAGACACTGCGCCAGTGAGCTTACTCCTGTGTTCACGGACATTTTCAACACCTCTCTGCAGTCCTGCCATGTCCCGGCCTGCTTCAAATCCTCCATCATTGTCCCCGTCCCGAAGAAGCCCAGGATCACAGGACTCAATGACTACAGACCTGTAGCACTTACGTCTGTCGTCATGAAGTCATTTGAACGCCTGGTTCTCTCCCATCTCAAGTCCCTCACCTCCCCCCTCCTGGACCCTCTGCAGTTCGCCTACAGAGCCAACAGATCTGTAGACGACGCCATTAACCTGGCCCTCCACCACATCCTACAGCACCTGGACTCCCCGGGGACCTACGCCAGGGTCCTGTTCGTGGACTTCAGCTCTGCCTTCAACACAATCCTGCCATCCCTGCTCCAGGACAAGCTCTCCCAGCTCAACGTGCCCGATTCCACCTGCAGGTGGATCACTGACTTCCTGACGGACAGGAAGCAGCGAGTGCGTCTGGGGAAGAATGTCTCGGACTCTCGGATTATAAATACAGGAGCCCCACAGGGCTGTGTTCTTTCTCCCCTGCTCTTCTCCCTGTACACCAACCACTGCACCTCCAGCCACGACTCCGTGAAGCTGATCAAGTTCGCGGACGACACCACCCTCATTGGACTCATCTCCAACAACGATGAGTCCGCCTACAGGAGGGAGGTGGACCGGCTGGTGTCCTGGTGCAGTGGTAACAACCTGGAGCTGAACGCCCAGAAGACAGTGGAGATGATTGTGGACTTCAGGAAGAGCACTGTCCCCCCGCCCCCACCCTCCGTGATGGACTCCCCCATCACCTCTGTGGAGTCCTTCCGTTTCCTGGGCACCACCATCACCCAGGACCTCAAGTGGGAGCCGACCATCAGCTCCCTCATCAAGAAGGCCCAGCAGAGGATGTACTTCCTGCGGCTGCTCAGGAAAGCCAAGCTGCCTGCACAGATGTTGGTGCAGTTCTACACGGCCATCATCGAGTCCATCCTCACCTCCTCCATCACCGTGTGGTTCGCTGGAGCCACAGTCAGGGACAAACAGAGACTACAGCGCATTGTGCGCTCTGCAGAGGAAGTGATCGGCCGCAGCCTTCCATCGCTGCAGGACCTGTACGTCGCCCGAGCTCGAGGCCGGGCTGGTCGTATCACAGCCGACCCCTCTCACCCTGCACATGGACTATTCCAACCACTCCCCTCAGGCAGGAGGCTGCGGTCCATCAGGACTAGAACCTCCCGCCACAAGAACAGTTTCTTCCCCTCTGCTGTTGGACTCTTGAACACTTCTTAACCTGTCCCCCCGCCCTTTATAAAGTCACTTTACTGCCCATCATACGTCACTTTACTTCACTGTACTGCTGTCACCTTACATTGTGTGCACCATGTGCACTTGTATATTGTAAATAGTAACTGTAACTCTATTTTAAATTTAAATTTATTCTTTAGAAGTGTTTTTTATTCTTATTTTTATTATCTCTTTTTGACTGTTGCACTGAGCCAAAGCAATTTCCAAGTCTGTGACCTCCCGTTACTTACGTTGGCAATAAAAATGATTCTGATTCTGATTCTGATTCTGAGCAGACACTTCTCTTTAGCCACGTCATTGGTGTTTCTTGATTTGAAGGCAAATGTTGATTAACCACATTGACAAAAGTTGAGATCCTTGGGTGAGCCTTGGGTGACCACTAGGGTGAAAAATACTCATAATTAATATCTTAAGAAAAATTACAGTTCAGGGTATGAGGTTGACAAGAGGAATGAGAAAATGAAATATTTCATATTTTAAAGTGCAGTAGTTTAAATTCTTATTATGCATGTTTTCTTTTTACTGTATTGTTTCCAGGTTTTCAGGATTTTTGTTCAGCTGAATGTAGCAGCACTGTCTTGTGTTCAGTGTTCTTCCTAAAGGCTGGAGCTCACCAACATTTTATCTGTGAGTCCTGTTTTAATGTTTTACAGTTTATTTTCAGTGTATACACATAACATATTTTTGTTTGTTTTTTCTTCATGTTTTTGTTTTTAAATGGCCACACATACAGTAGCTCAGGGCATAATCTATACCTTTGCAATCACTAAATAGCCAATAGCGCAAAGGACAAGGATTTTGAGTTTATCAAATTAAATGATTACAAAAAAACAATTAATTGCAATATCCATTCTTCAATGAAACGGCTCATTTCTGTGATGACTCAAAACAATGTGATTCGGCACTTGTTTCACACTGAGATGTTTCTGTGCAGATTATGATGGTGAGAAAATTAATTCATGCAACTTCTTATGACATTTAACTAGAAAATGAAATATATAAAACTATACTATATAAAAATACACACAAAGGTTTTGTTATACTTAACTCAAGGCTTCACAGATTTGGCCAAATATCTTTTTTCCAATATATCAGACCAACATTGTATTACCCTTAGAAATTTGCTTAAAAAGTCATATTTTGTTCCAACCTTTTCAAGATTCCCACTTATAACTTGACTATAGAATTGTTTTTAGTAATAATAATTGAATACACTGCAAAAGGGATAATATATTAGTTCATATGAATCAGCTTTGATATTTATTTGATAATGTTAAAGCAGCTTTCCCAGAAGAATAAGTACAACAGCATGACTTGTTTTACTTAAAAGACGAAAATATGAAAGTAAACTTACTAATTAAATTACTGAATGCCACTTGTTTACTTACTACATCCATGAGGGAAAGATACACTAGTGCAAGTGCCAGACACGTTATAAGAAAACACATTCTAACTTCTCACATAATGTTTTTGCAGATCTCTAATAACTTTTACCTTCTCTCTCACTTTTGCTCCTGCTACATATTTGTGTTATTGTTTCTCATTCCACACTTGCTCACAGCTTTGTAGCGCTCAGTTTTCTCTTTGTTTGTCCAAGTGTGCATAACTGATCAACGCCCTCTGCCTCGCTCCCTCCTTCCCTCTTTCACTCCCTGATGTCTGTCTACATGAGGGACCCTCCGCAGCGCCAGCGATCACTGGGGCCCGTGTCGCCCAAACGCATCTATCGAAACCTGTCCATCAGACTCCGGGGGGCAGAGGCCGCGAGCGCAGACGCCACAGAGATGCCCAAACATTTAAACAAGTCTGTGGATGCTGTGAGTGGAAACAATGCTATTTCATTTGGATGAGTGATTCATTGTTCACTGAGATGTTTATAGACAGTCTATAGAAATTATATTGAAATTACGTTATAAGCAGTTTAGGCAAGTTGGTTAGGCAAGGTTATGTAGCACAGTTCATACTGTACATTAAAAAGAGCAAAAATAAAATCCCTCAGTTGTATACACAGCTAAACAGAACTTTACATAAGTTTAGATATAGATACATAAATTATTAATATTAGTAAAGTCACAGTCATTGCAGCATATGTGTATCATCTGCTTTAGACTTTTGAGTTCTCTAGTGACATTTCTTCTTATAGTTGCACTGACAATTGCATGTTATATAGTCGGATCTATGCATATGTATGTATGTAGTGTCAATATTCATATACTCAATACAGCTCTCAACAATCTTCTTTTAACTTTTGAAAAACAGATGTCATTCACAGTAGTACACACAATCTTTAAACATGTGCACAACAGATAATTGTTGGTTGATTGATTTACTCAATGATTGTCACACAATGTCTTTCACACGTCGTCTGGACAGGGACAATGTTGCGTGTGATGTGGATGTAATTCTCTGACCTAACCAGGGACAAAGCATCAATGGTGATGCTAATATTGATGCAGCTTTTTCACTGGGAAATGTTACATGTTCACACTTTTAAAACAAAGAGTACTCTTTGTTTTGTACTTATTTATACGTCAATCCATTTACTTCTGTAATACAACGTACAATGTGAATCTAATATATGACCGACTCATTACACTCATCACAGATATATCAAGCCTTTCTTTTTTGTAATGTTGATCATTTGCTTATAGCTGTAAAAACCCCAAATAGAATTCTCAGAAAATTAAAATAATTTGAAGATGGACCTTACCCATTGTCCATAGAAACTATAAGAAACAAATGTGTGTAACTCACTTGAGTGATTATACAGATCTACATCATATAATGGTTACACATTTTAATGGTTACACATTTTAAGCAGAATTACAGAAATAAACAATATAATAATTTTCACCTGTATTATCTTGTGTACATGTTCTTTTCAATTGTAATAAGATAATACCTTTTTGACTACTATTATGATCCAATATTAGCAGAATAAGTCATGTGGATGGCTGTTTGTTGCCATCGTTATCATCAAAAATCATAAGCTGAATCATAAGGTGCCGGATTCTCTGGCAGTCAGAATAAAACTTTTGTGGCTTGAGTGCACCGCGGTGGTTAGTTCAGTCGTGCTCCTGCCCCTATTCGCGGTGTCCTCTGCAGCTGTATTCTACAGTGTATGCACGGCTTTTGACAGCTGCAGCAGATCTACTACAAACAGGTTTTTATATCTCCATGGGTGCACTTCCGCATTCCTGATGTATTACATTGTTACTTTTTGTTGTTTTAAAGTTAGGTACCCTCTGTTTTCCTTATTAATCCAAACTGCTCTGTCTTCTGACAAATTTGACTGACTGAAATAAATTACTCTTACTATAATTACTATTCTTCAGTACAAGAGCCTGTGGGAGGCTGTGGAGAATGAGGACACTTTGGCCGTGCAAAACCTGCTGACCAGAGAGCAGGCCAACAGCGGAGGAGGAGGAGGGGGAAGCATTTGGGAGAAGACCCTCTGGGAAAAGGCTGCGAAGAGGGACAAGGAGTTGGAGCAAGAGAAGGAGAGAGGGGTGAACCGGGTCAGTGACCAGGGTTTGGTCCCACTGGATGTAGCAGCACTTACCCATAATTCACCTCTGCTCCATGTGCTGACAAAGGCTGGAGCACATCACAACCCTATATGTGAGTTTGGTATCCATGATGTGTTGACTCTAGCAAGCGTTAGTCAACTAAAAAAGGGACATGGCATAAGCTATGTATGTATCTGACCTGTATACTCACAAGATTTTAGGCATAAAATCACACAAAGGAATTTCAAAAAGGTATTGATAAACTTGTGATTTGAGCGTTTGATCTGCCTTAAATTTCAATATAAATACCAAAATCATCAGCTGATTTGCTCCTTGACTCCTGTTTTTACAGTTTTCTCATAGAAATCCTTGCAGTATAGATACAATAATTAGTCAACTAATGTCATCAATTTGATTAGATAAGAAACAATGACCAATTAATTGATTCAACAACATCAGACTGAGAGCCCTATTTGCGTTCATTTGTTTGAGTGCGGAATTATAAAATAGGCTTTTTTCAAGTAATAAACTGGTGTAGTTACAATGGCGATGACAAAGTTACATCTATGAACAAAATGTTTTAATTGGGAGTAGATTGTGATGCAGGGACAGCTACAATGATGTGCTAATATAATCTCATTTGTGTGTTCTTTCCTCATGCTGTTAATCGCTTTTCCTTCAGTGAATCGGCCAGCAGAGTGGGCTCTGAAGCTGGACACCCTGGTGACGCTGGCCAGTAAACGTGTGGAGGAAAGGAGGAAAGAGATGGTCCGGAGGGTGGCTGCTGGACCTCAGGCCCAAGCTGATATGCAGCGACAGATCCGGCTCTGGAGCCTCAGGCTGCAGCTTTACTGTCGTATGAGAGAGAACTTCAACAACACAGGTTCGTTTTACGAGCAGGAACTATGAACTCTTCAACCTGCAAGACATCAGTCTGCTCACTGTCTGAGGCTGATTACGGACATTGGCTCTTCAATTGCAATTCCAATCTCAACATTCATTCAGATTAGAGATTGAGATTGACTCCTGGTTATCTTAATATTATTTGCAAGGGCTGTTGCTGTTTGCAAATTTGCAAGACACATAATAAGATGATTAGATAGAAACAGTTTCATTAATAGTTATCTGGATTGTTCTATTTAGGTCCCTTCACTGTGTGATTTCATTCAGATTCCTGAGTGAAATACCAGGTGTACTTATAGTACTTATTTAAAGTACTATTAATAAAAGTTATTTATTAATGGGACAACTTTCCTGGTAGTGTAGCTTTCAAAATCCCTATTGTATTGTATCATTATAGACTTATGAGAAAACTGATCTTATGTTGTTTGGTTTTAAAACAGACATCCGTATTATTTTTCAGAGCTCCCTGGTCCTCCTTCTCATGTGTCCATTCTGGTGACAAGCACATCGTCGCTGCTGGTAGTAATCAAAGAACCAGAAGGTCCAGGCTTTGGGCTCATCACACGTTACCGAGGTAAACTCCTTTACACACTAATGTAAGATTGTAAAAGCATCCAGGATTAATTTAATTTGTGGAACACAGAGGATGGAACAATCGATAAAGTTCATATGTATGTAAAGTTTTAATGTAGTTTAACATGATTCTGATCCTATTTAATTCTGTTTCCATTGATGAGGCTAAATGTCATTGTGAGCGTAGTGTAGATTAATACTATTGACACCATGATCCCAAACTGGTAAACACTCTCGTCCCCTATGAAGCGTGTTCTCAGATACGGGTTCCAGTTAACGCAGAGAGTCTGTTTGTGTTTGCAGTGGAATGGAGCACTTCCGATACATTCAAACGCATCATTGGCTCAGCTCAAGTTATGGAGACAAAAAACCCAACGTTTTCAATTCACGGGCTGACAGCAGTAAGGCCTGCAGAACATTCACGATTCCCTACTCATGAAAAAATAATAATGTTTGTTTTATTCTCTGTTGTAGGGAATACATTACTTTGTCAGAGTCTGTGCCTATAATATAAAAGGATGGGGCCCGCCTCAAAGCTCTACCCCGACTAGTGCTGCCCCCTCTAGTAAGTGTAAAGAACTGCAGGTATTTACAGACTTCAAACGCCTGATGCAGAAGACATTTGTAGTTTTGTATATTTCTCAATACTGCTCCCACCACGACCGCCTGTGTTACCAGCTCCACTATTTCTGATGCAACTTCAAACATTGCACTGCATTACTGCCTTGTTTTGCACAAGATTCTTAATGTTAAAGCAAAAGCGAAATATATGTATTTCCATTGTCTATCCATCCATCCATTTTCTTCCGCTTCATCCGTTGCCAGGTCGCTGCAACAGATGAAGCGGAATATATGATTTCAGCAGAGATGATTCCAAATAATCACCTCATATGTGAAGAGTAGAATGCACTTTTGCCTGGCCGTTGGGTCAATGAATTATTAAGATGTGAATAACTGAAGATGTCAGAAGAGTCAATGGCCCCGTGTGACGAAAGAACAGGGCATGCAGCCTTTAAATTACTGGCTTCTAGTTGCCTCTTCACACTGTTCAGTGAAACCAATTAGACATCAGCGGAAATCCTTTGTAGATTATTTATTAGTCTGGAACATTTCACAAATCAATATTTGAGGTTTATTTTTTTATATTTTTTGTATGAGACCAGCTAGGAAACAACACACATTTGTCCTCATTTATGATAGCTCTCTGCGGAAAAATATGTGCGTGAGGTGTTATGGTGTGCTGCTCTGAGAAGTTGTACTCTACAAACAAAAGTCTGCAACTGGTACTAAAGTGTGCACGTACTGCGGGTGTGCCTTGTCCTCTGACACTCCGAGCTCTGGGCTCAGGCCTCTGTCCCTTCCCACATGAGGTATTTTCCACATGGCACTATTTTCCTCAAATCTCATTTATTATCAGAGCTGGTTCAGCGTACGGTTGTGCTGCACACAGGTTCATAAATACCACGCTCCCTCTGGCGTTTCCACTAATATTTGCCGTGAGGTATGCCAGTTTCAGTGTTCATAAATGAGGGCTATTTTCTGACTGCTTGAAAATCTGAAAACATTGACAAGAAGCTCCTCCATGTTTGTAAAATAGTTGTTGATGTGATGAAAGACTGTTTTAATGAGATCAAGAATAGACTTTAAATAGCGTCTGCTGTGTAGGTTGGCGTGAGTGCGTGGGAGTGAAATCGCAGTTTCGTAACCACGAGGGCCTTGTAAGGAAGCTCCTTGAAGATGCCAGAGAACCACAGTACAGAGGATGCTGCATAGGTATGCACACAGACAGTAATATACTGTACACACAGATGTACACAATGAGACAATAGCATACGAGAAAAAAGCGTTTTTGAAAACCTGAACTCTTCACCTGGCCTCACTGTGAACTCACTGTGGTCTTCTACATCTGGGCCAAAATTAACACACTATCAGTAAACATTGAACGTAGTTGAGAAAAGACCTGGGATGTTTTTGCACAACACCTTTCTTTTCTTTTAAGAGGCCTACTCTAAAAATAAAGAACATTACATGTAATACAACTTGAACAATAGCTCAGTGACACGTTGGCTTCATATCTACATTAAATATGTGATAGTTTTGAACATCACACATCAGTTATGAATGTCTCTCACCAGTTTTCTGAGTCTACATTTTTAGGAACACACCTCATCTCCCATTGCATCGATTTACTCTGCTTCCAAATATTTTTCCTTGTATCTTGCTATTGGCTCATGCACTTTTACGTCTGCCCTGTGATTAGAATTTCAAGCATAGAATAAGACAGATGAAGTGATTGTCATGCAGTCTGATCCTTTCTCTCTCCTCTGCAGAGAGCTGTAAGCCCCAGAGCCCCAGCAAGCGCATGTCGATGTCTAGAGGCATTAAACAGCTTTTCCAGTCCGCCACCAAGTTTGTTCGCCTACTCCAGAGGTACTCCCATGACGTCTGTCCCCTTTTTTCCTTGAGGCTGCCAGGAGTAAGTTGTTTGAAGTGATGGGATTGTAGTGGCGCAAAACAACAAAGGACAAGACCAAACTCCTATCTTGTTCTTGGCACCGCGCAGTAGGTACATTAAAGCCGCTGGAGTCTGGAGATTAATGAGAGGCTCGCTGGTGGAATCAGTGAAGAGTGGCAGGGACCAAGTGACTGATGAGCGCTCCTCACTGTAATGATTATTCAATGGACTGAGAAGGAAACGGACCATTGAACAAGAGGAAAAGGCTGCTAGATTCAGTGCTTGAGCTTAGGTTAAAAGCAATTTGACTGCATAATATTCAACATCATTTAAGTGCTCTGAATAAGATGAACGGCTGCACAATGATAGAGTAAAAATAGGGAAAAACAAGTTAAAGGATATTTTTATTTGAATATTCAGGTAGTTATGTAATTAAGTGAAGAGTATGATAGTAGTGGAATTGTTCTGTATACAGTAAGTCTATTCCCGATACTCGTAGGTAGAATGTATTACTAACAATTGAATAGCAAAGCAAATTGTTTGTAATAATTTACGTCTATGAACAAGGGGATCTTCCAGGACTTTTATCCATGATGGATCTTCTGTTTGTCTTAGTTGACCACCAAATATTATTTATTGTTTGGTTTATTGTTTGATTTTCAATTATGTTTGATGTCCTAATATGTTTGATTATACTTGTATAATTTTCTAATCTGTTGGCAAATCAACAATTCTGTGTTGTCCTTCGAGACGACTGCAGTTTTGATTTTGGGGCAATACAAAAATATATTGATTTGATGAACGACATTAATATCAGTGTCACAGAGTCTGCTCATCAGTTGTTGTGTCCTTTGGAAAAGAACCTTAGTCTTCTAGTTCCAGAATCTTGGCGTATCTGTGACTGTTGGTGGTGGTTGTTTGGATCAGTGGCTCAGACTGTCTCAGGGCAGTATTGTCTACAGCAGCAGCACATGAGTGAGGGAGTGTGTGGTTGTGACTGACAGCGTCTGAATGTCTTCATGTCGTGTGTTCTGACATCTTTAGAGGTGTCTACCTGGCAGCTGTCTTTCACTACAAGGAGAACATCCTTGTGACTGCTGAGGATCAAATCCCTCTTGTGGAGATCCAGGGCTGCTCAACGCCCATCACCCAGGACTTCCTCTGGTTTGCTAAGGTTTGTATTTAAACAAAGCAAAACTCTCATTGAATTTATTTTAATAAAGTCTTTGGATGTTTTATTTTTGCAGTTATCTTGTGCGTGGCAACAGGTTCCGTGGCTGCAGCAGTCCCTCGTCTCAGCTCATTCATCTTCCTCCTCCCTCATTCAGAACAGGCACAACATTTTAAAAGCAGTTTCACAGCTCCAGGTAGGCAGTTAAGCAGCTTATTTTGTGATAAGAAGCTGTGAACCGTGTTCATTTCCAGTTTAATTACCTTATTTCCCTCCCTTCACCTATGCTTTTCCGAGTGCTAATAATGCATTCTTGTCACACAACAACCACTTCCTGTTAAATTAGGCCCTAATATGCTCTGTATTATTCAACCTCATGTTTTTTTGTCTCCTGCAGTCCTCTCTTGGAATGATGGATTTGGGTCAGGTTTACTATGAGCCACTCAAAGATAAACAAGGGAACGTGTTACTGGTCACACTGAAGGACTTCTCCAACCTTCCTAAGTAAGACATAAAACATTTCTTTAAGAGATCCTTTATTTGTCCCACAGTGGGGAAATTTCAGTGTTGCATCACAAGTTATAGGACAGTAGGAAAGAGAAGCACACAGCACAACATAATTGAACAGTAGCTATACTAGTTAAAATAAAACTATCTCATAATAACACAATGTCTTTCAGTGTTGTCTTTGGTTCTGACGCACATTGAGCTTGGAAATGAGTAACAAAACCTTGAATGTGAAAATGTAGCCATTTTACTAAACACCTTCCAGAGGACGCACTGACCTCTGCTGCTGTTAAAGAACAGATTTATCATATTCATTTACAAGATTCTGCATCTCCTTGTTCACCCAGACAACGTTTTAATTAATGAAGGAGACATGTTCAATCAGTTTCGGGGAATAATGGTGTAATCTGCATAATTGTCAGCTTGTCTAAAATGCATACAGATGTTTCCCTTGGTTACTGGTGGTTGTTGTATTATATGATTCTGGTTAGAAAGATGAAAATCCCTCCACTTGCAGCCCCCCTGACCCACCGCTCCATTGGATGCCCTTTGCTCGACTGGAAAAGAACCGCAGCCGGACCCCCCTGCTGCCCGAGCCCACAGCCATGGATATGCTCTACGCACAGGTCAAGGTGAACTGCTTCATGCGTTTGACTTTCTTCTGGAAAATAAGAGAGAATAACATTGTGACTCTTCAGCATGACGTGTTGAACTGTGTCAGTGCCTTGAAACAGTGCAGGAATCTTTTCTCTTGATTATTGAACAGTGTTTATAGCCGTGTCTAAACTCAAATTTGAATGTAGTGGAATGAAATATTACAAATTATCTCACCATGAGATAACTTTAAATATATTTATGTTACATAGAACATTGGTTTACATGCTACACTATGGACTCATATTATTGTTGGTTAATTCACATATTCTCTGAGATCCACCAAAATGACTGCCATTGTAATTTTGGGGAATACAGAAAAATATTGAAGTTAAAATAAACACACGCACGCACGCACACACACACACACCAGATTGTGATCAATATTGAATGTAAATACTAATAAAAGGACTTTGAATTTTAATACCACATTGATAATTTCTATAAATATTATTACAATAACACCACTTTATTGTGTATTTTATGGCACCACAATGTTTTAGACTAGTTTTGAGATATAAATGCTGAAAGAAATCTCTCATAATGACCTAATATTGTGTTTTAGTATTCCTCATATGAGTATATACAGTGAGGTTCGCAAGTATTTGCACACCCTGCAATTTAGCAGGTGTATTTCCACTATTAGAAACATAATCTAAAAGGAAAAATCCAGAAATCACTTAACATGATTTTTTTATGATATATTTGTATGTTACTGGGTTTGATAAGTATTTGCACACATGAGAACGTCAGTGTTAATATTTAGTGTAGAAGCCTTTGTTTGCAGTTACAATGGTCAAACCTTTCCTGTAGTTCTTCACCAGGTTTGCACAAACGGCAAAAGGGATTTTGGCCCACCCCTCCACACAAATCTTCTCTAGATCTGAGGCTGTTGCAGAGCAACACAACGTTTCAGCTCCCTCCAAAGATTGTGTATTGGATTTAGGTCTGGAGACTGCCTAGGCCAGTCCAGGACCTTGATATGCTTCTTTTGGAGCCACTACTTGGTTCTCCTGTGCTTTGGGTCATTGTCATGTTGGAAGAATCAGCCACGACCCATCTTGACTGAGGGAAGGAGGTTTTTGGCCATAATCTCACAATACATGGCCCCATTCATCCTCTCCTTAGTACACTGCAGTTGTCCTGTCGAATCTTCTGAAAAGGACCCCAAAGAATGATGTTTCCACCCCCATGCTTCACTGTCGGGATGGTTTACTTCTTTTTCCTCCAAACACAACGAGTGTTTATACCAAAAAGTTCTGTTTTGGTTTTATCTGACCACCTGACTTCTCCATCATTCAGATAGTCCTGGGCAAACTTTAGACAGGCCTGGACATGGGCTGACTTAAGCGGGAACCTTCTGTGCGATGCATGATTTTAAACCACTAGGTCTTAAGTGTTCTACTGAGTAGTAACCTTTCACCAGCTCCTGTCGAGTAGTTCTGGGCTGATTCTTCACTTTTCTTATCATGAGTGATGCCCCACAAGGAGAGATATTTCTTGGAGCCCAGATTAGCAGTCATGTTTAGCCTCTTCCATTTTCTAACAACTGCTGCAACAGTTGATCTATTCTCACCAAGCGGCTTCCCAATTGGCCTTTTCCAGCTTTGTGAAGTTCTACAATTTTGTTTCTGGTCTCTTTTGACAGCTCTTTGGTCTTGCCCATGACAGCAGTTGGACCCTGCACAGGTGACTTTAAAGAGCTTGAATGAGTGGTGAATGGGTGATTACTTGTGGGGTAATGGTGGACATTTTTAAAGTGGACTGTCAGCTCTTTGAGAGTCATAATTCTGGCTGAGTCTCATGTGCGCAAATACTTATGCCAGGAACGTATAGATAAATTATAAAAAAAATCATAGAATGTGATTTCCAGATTTTTGATTTTAGATTATAAACAGTGGAAATACATCTTTAGCAAGTTAGCCTTGTTATTAAAAGAGATCCTTTATTTGTCCCACAATGGGGAAATTTCAGAGTTGCATCACCAGTTTCAGACCAGTAGGAATGAGTAGCACACAGCACAAGATAAATGAACAATAACTCCATACTACATCAAATAGAATAAAATCTCAACTAAGTACTGTGTATTCTAGTGCAAGCAGTCTATAGCTGTATGCATACATCTGTACATATTGTAGGAGCTATTTGCTTGATTGATTTAATTATTTGGGGTTTTGTATATTTTTTTATAATTAGTAATTTTTTGCTGAGGTTAGTATTTTTGTAGATTATTTTGGGTTTACTTCAGTTCGGTTTAGTTTTTTGGTTTAGTGGCACCTAGGGGATATAAGGGGGCAGTACAGGGCGGGCCTTCATGCACCTGGGTGGGCCTATGGTTTTTTACCAGTTCTGGGAGATGCAGCATTTTTGTGTTGTTTGCCTGCAACTTGATGAATAAACCCCTTTTGAACTTTACATTTTTTGGAATGGACAATTGTTTATTTTTTGTACTGCGTAAACCACTTACCCATGGTGCATTCTAGTGATTATTTGAGTTTGTTCTTAAGTTTGGTTACATTTGGTTTGATAGTCTATTTTTTGACAAATAGTCACTACATGCGAGTAAAAAACCTTGCCCTTGAACCAACAAGAATACTCATCACATCAATCGAGTGGTTTCTTGCGGATAAATGCGTGGATGCCTGCGTAAAGTTTGTTTTGATTCATCGCCTTCGGGTCCTGATTGCTCCAGCTGCCTCACCTCAACAATCAAAGCCCTGGTCTCCTCTGCAAATGGTATGTGGAGTATTACTAATGTTATAATGGAAAACAGCCAAACGATTGGAGTTTGAAGATAGTAATTAACACTGACATATTCAAGGATATCAATGGAGATTAAAGAAAGGATTGTCTGCAGTACCATTACGCACCACTAGTCGCAACAAGCCAAGTGAAATAAAATAAAGTTGATTGTTGCTCAGTGCCGCATTTATTCAAACAGTGGATTGTATAAAAAGGAATTAATAGTTACCTAATGTAACTTAAGTTCTACGAATAGGTGCGTAGTCCCTTAGGACTTCGCTAGTGGGATATCACTCGTGACCCCCAGGTCACACGCCAGAGAGATCAAAATAATTTGCTCCAATCACCAGCCACCCTCCTCTATAAATGCCCCTGCACACGGCCGCACCCCCTCTTGAACTCTGCCAAGCCGGGCTGGCCTGATGGGCTCGTAGCTAAGGGACTACGCACCTATTCGTAGAACTTAAGTTACATTAGGTAACTATTAATTCTACGTCATGGTGCTACGTCCCTTAGGACTTCGCTAGTGGGACACAACGCGGAGGCCGTAGGAACATGTACTCCCAGCAGGCCAGCGAAGGGTGATTGGAGCTCCGCCCGAGCAAGACCCTCACACAGTGAGAGGACTCAGGGCAGAAGAAACAATGCGTGTTACAGGACCACTCCTACCAAGGATACCCCCACGTAACACAGACCGTAGGTCATCCGTAGTCACAGGACGCCTCTCCCAAGAGCTCCTGACGTGGACTACCTGACCGACCACACACACATATATGTACCGCACCTGTAGGATGCCTCTCCCAAGAGCTCCTGAACCAGGGCGGAAAGTCAACCGAAGGCCCCCTCAGAGGAGGGACCTAAACGGTCTAACTCAGTCCGCTGCACTCAGCACGGAATGGGCCACCGACCGGTCCGACACATCCAAAAGATAAGACCGGACGAAAGAGGAGGACGACGCCCAAGAAGCCGCACGACAGACGTCCTCGACCGACGTCCTCGACCGACGCCCTCGACTGACGCCCCCCTGAGAAGGGCCGTAGAGGCCGCCATCCCACGCGTGGAATGCGACCTGAAGCCCACCGGGGGGGCCAGACCCTGCGTCTGATACGCCCGCCGCACAGCCGTGGCGACCCAGTGCGCCAGCCGCTGAGCCGACAGCGGGGCGCCCCTGTTCTTGGGGCCCAGACACACAAACAGCTGACCACCCAACCTGAATGACGACGTCATGGCCAGGTAATGCCTCAGCATTCTGACAGGACACAGAAGGTGCCGCCGCTCCTCCTCGGGGGAGGCATGCGGTGGCGGATAGAAAGCCCTAATCCTGATGACTCTCGACCTAAAGGCCGACGTGATGACCTTGGGGAGAAAAGCCGGATTGGGCCACAATTCCACCATGCCGTCGCCCTCTCCAAAGGACAGGCAAGACGCATGGACAGAGAGCGCACACAAGTCGCCCGCCCTCTTAGCAGACGCCAACGCCAACAAGAGGGCCGTCTTAAAAGCGACACACTCGGGACTCGCCTCCGCCGCCGGTTCAAAAGGCGGACCCGACAGCCCCCTAAGGACCACCCTGAGGTCCCAAACCGGGGGCGTTCTCTGGAGCGGGGGCCTCCTCCTGCGCGCCCCCCGCAGAAAACGTTTAACCAACGGATGAGAGGGGGCTGTGAACCCCCCGAATCCGTCGTGACCCAAAGTAATGGCTGCCGCGAACACCGCCAAGGTGGCGACAGCCCTCCCCTTGTCAAAGAGCTCCTGTAGGAATCCCAAGACCCCCTCCAGCGGGCAACGCCTGGGATCCCAGGAACGGGAACCGCACCAGTCGCTGAAGAGCCTCCACCTCGTGGCGTAGGCCCTCACAGTGGACGGCGCCCTCGCCCCCTGAATGGTCTCCACCACCGCAGGGGGAAGACCCAGGTCTACGAGGTTCCGCCTCTCAGCCTCCAAACCCAGAGCCTGCGGCCGATTATCGGGCGTGAAAACAGGGCTCCTCCCCCCTGGACTAGAGCCCCCGGCTCGTCCGGGAGGGCCCAGGGCTCCATCACCGCCATGCCCCTCAGGAAGGGGAACCACCAGGCATGCGGACTGTCCGGAGCCACCAGGATCACCGACCTCCTCTCCTGTTCGATCCTCCGCAGCAGGACCGGCAGGAGACGCACTGGTGGGAAAGCGTACAGCAGGCCCTCTGGCCAGGGGTAATGAGCCAGAGCGTCCACGCCTAAGGGCGGCTCGTCCGCGG